AGGTTAGAAAACCAGGCTGACTTGCTTTCTGCTGGATAATGTAGGCAGTTCTGGAACTGAAGGTTTTGGGGAGTCCCAAGTAATCCAGCAACTTCCTTTATCCTGCCTCCTGTCAAAGGAGAGAGCAAGACACACACACACACTACAGAGAGAGAGAGAGAGGGGGGGGAGAGGGAGAGAGAGAGAGAGAGAGAGAGAGAGAGAGAGAGAGAGAGAGAGAGAGGGAGGGAGGGAGGGAGAGAGAGAGACTCAGAACTGGCCTGGCAAGAGCCAAGAGACATCTATGAAGGGTGTTGGACAAGAGTGGGAGGCTGAGTCACTGAACTCTTTGGTTACTTTTGCTCTTGAGTTAATAATTGTCACATTTTAAAACAGCCCCCGGCTCTGTGAAGACCACCTTCTGTGATTTTTCAGTCTCAGAGAAGACAATAGGGCACAATCAGACACATTACTGGACAAACTGCCAAATGTGTTCCTGTTACAGCTCACTGGAATGGAGCGTGCCTCTGAGGAAAACAAGCCCAAGAGCATTTGTATTCTGAACAGGCGTCTGTCTGTGTTTGTGACCTTTATGTTGTGATGTGTGTGAGCTGCTGTCTGGAATTGGAGAGAAGGGGGGAATATGTCACCTATGCCCCCTCTCCTGAAGTGTTTAATGCCTCTGAGGCTCTTCAGAAGCCAACAGAGCGGAGACGATAAGTGATTAGAAGTACATTTGGGATACATTTTTGGATCTAATTACAATTGTGCTTTTTTTTTTCATTCTGTTTTGCTTTTGCTCTGTTGTTAGAACACACCATATGAACATTTGCTGAGTGCCATGTTAGCAATGTGTAATGGTTACTAAAACTTCTGGGTATAAATATTGATAGCAGTTGCTTATCTGATGGTCTTTAATTACAGGGAATAAGTGTGGCGGACCAGCATCCCCAAGTAAACAAAATCACCTTTTTGTGGTAGGCACAAGGCTAAGGATGAACCATTTGAGGAAACTTTAGTAGTTATGCATTTGACACTTGGTACCAACCCGTTCAAGAGTGGAGATTCCTTCCTACTAGTGTTCTGTCCCCCCACCACACACACACACACCACCACCACCACCACCACAATGCTACTCTTAAGTGTTTTAGATGTGTATCTACCATATGTCATATCATATTGTCTTTTTGTCTTAACCAGTGACAGGTGTTAACTATGTACCTACCATACAAGATGCATATTTTCGATGGTGAAGACAGTGAGTTTGCTACTTACTGAATTTTTAAATTCCCTCTGGTCTATCTTATAGGCAAGCTTTTACATACTGACAATTTAGTGAAATACCAGCATGTCCATAATAAAAAGTATAATGCCAAGAACTAGTTAAGTTGAGCTTAGTTTAAGATTCAAAACAATATTTTCCAAAAGCCAGACATTCAGAGTTATGGACTAAAACAAAGTTTCTAATCTCTTATCCACCACACCCCCTTCTCTTCTGAGTTCATTTGAGGTTTAGATTTTTTTACCATCTACTCTCCAGTCAACCTGTGTAAAAATTAGACAAGTAAGCCCAAACCAATGAGATACAGATTTATGTTTCCTGTTTTTCTTTTTATGACACATAAAAATCTGAGAGTCAAAGAGTTCAGATAATTAATTCAGATATTGTAAATTATTTTTCAGTGTAGTATCTTTTTTTCTGAGTAATTGGCATATGTACCTGAGTAGTGAATCAAAAGTTTTGGGTGTGGTGATGTAAGCCTGTAATCCTGAAACTTGGGAGGCCAGGCAGAAAGAACACCATAAATTCAAGGCTACTTAAGTCTATTTTGAGAATTTCTGACTAACTGGAGGTACAAAAGCGGGACTCTATAATGATAACAACAACAACAATAATGATAATAGACAAGCTTCAGTGATACACATATACCCTTTTGATTGTATTAATGCCTAAGTTGCTGTCGGAAAGGTACGGTAGTTAAAGAAGAAGTTTTCTATTACTCGATAGTCTAGCAAAGGGCTCAGAGTAATCAGATGGCTGCTTTTCGTGTTGACATTCAGGAGCAAAGGTTAAAGACATAATAAAACTGTCCAACCTATTGCTTCCATTTTAGTCCAAGTTTACAACCTCATCTGTTAGCATTTCAATGCTGGAAAGGGTAGGAAAGAAAGCACATAGATTTTTTTTTATCTTATTTTGCCCAATAGTTGTGTATATCTTTTATCCTCGTTCTATTGACCTGAACTTATACACGGTAGTCATCAATGTCAGCAAGAATTTGTGGCAGCTGTGTTGTTATGTGTCTGTTGCCAAGACGGAAGCAGGAAAGTGTGGAACCATAAAACCCTTGGCATTCGCTGACGTAGTTACTGAAGTAAGAAAAAGGGTCTAAAGCAGATGCGCTAATAGAGAAGAATTTCTAAAAAGGGTTTCAAAGAAAGCTTCAAGATTTGAATTGACGATTTTAGCAAAAGACAAGAAAACAAGAATTCGGGGAGAAAACCCCAAATTGTTCTGGAATTGTCCATGACTGACTAACTAAGTAAAATCTACTTATTTATTTATTCGTTAACTTACCATTGTGTGGAAGTCAGGGGACAACTTTGGGAAGTAGGTTCTATGGGTCCCAGGACTCAAACTCAGATAGTTAGGCTGTGTGGCAAGCTCTACCCACTGTGCTATCTTGCTGCCCAAGTATGATATTCTTAGGGAGACTCAGGCTATGGTTCTAACAGAAAGTGCACTAAATAATAGACGGGTGCTTGTAGGTCACACTAAAAGACTCCAATCCTACCTTCCCAGTTAAGACATTGATTGATTGATTGATTTATATACATTTATAAAATTGATAAAAATTTATAATTTGCTTAACCTTTCAGAGGTCCCTGATTCTTATATGGAATATGAGAAAATGATATTATCAGTATTCTGAAATTATGTGAATTTAAGGAAATTACCTACAAACAGTTTGTAAGCACTGAATTACATTAGCAGCGGTCACTGCTAATATTACTATCTAATCCGAGAAGGGAGGAAGCTTTTTCCTGCAGAAATGATTTTTCTGGAGTCACTGAAGGGGTGATGGGAGCTGCTAACGCCCACTGTGATCTTAGCTGTAGACATGAACATGGGCAAGTGGAACTGGAAAACGTTCCAAAGTAAGCAAGACCCAAAGTTCAATTTCCTAACTGGAGTGGGGCCATAAGATTCAACAGAAATGAAAGTACAATGTGGCTTGAATGAAGTATCTTTTAAATTTGTCTTCTTAGTTATTAATACATTACTGTTATTTGTAGACAATTGTATCTTTATCTTGTCATTGAGTTATTTGTTCATTTACTTATGCATGCATTTAGTTTTCGGGTTGATAGTTGAACACATCCATGCCAGGGGTGAATCCTGTCACAAAGCTGTACCTGTAGCATGTAGAAAGGTTGAGAAGCAGAAAGAAGTACTCGAAGAACAGGGTGATGCTTTTGTTATCTTTTTTATGTGCATGGAAAAGTTAACAGGATTTCTACTACTTGGGCCCAGAAACAGTATCTTTAGACTGGAGTTATACTTGTGTCTCTGTGTGTCTACGTGCACATATGTGAGTGCCATCTGAGGCCAATGACCTCTAACTACTGAACTGATTAAGCGTTGTAAGAGTCTCTTTCTTGTCTTTCAATTCAAGCATGGGCTTCGTAGATGATAATAATCACATAGCACCTAATGTCAAAAAAGTTGAACATCTCAGGTGATTCTTAGATGTTGGAGTTTATTACAGACCTTTGTATGAATCTGCTATAAACCAAGGAGCCTTGCCACAGAAAAGCTCTCATCTTCAGTATAAACAAGGAATTTTTGTTAACAGAATTTCAGCAGGTTCCTAAATTCCCTGAAACCCATCTGTGGCGCTTCAGGGGCCCAGGGGCCCCTCCCAAACCCCTAGAACAGACTTAAGCAGCTGTTTATAAGCCTTAATTTTGATGACCTGACAGGGGTCACTGCTGTAAACTTTCTTTTGTTCTCAATTATATTTTGTTTTTCTGTTCTATGATGGAGAAGGGATAGCGGGCAGGGGGACTGGGAAGCCACCTATGGGCAGAGTCATGGATCAAAACTGGAATGGTGGCATTAATGCTTTTTGGTTTTGACAGCCTACAAATTTTCTCAGCTATAACCTTTGGTCTAGTCTTAAGGAGGACAATTGGATCTTTTGCACTGAAAGAATGTCTCATGATTTGGCTCAATATAAGCCAGTTTTATCCTTTTCTTATGTTTGGATTTCTATTATCTGTCTGTGAAATGTGTACTGTGAGGCCGTGGGGTAGGCTTTCCACCTAATTCTTTGCTACGCTGTGTGGAGGGTAGCACAGACAGTCGATAACAATCAATACTAATTGTAGCCTGGCCCAGAGACTGGAGTCAGAAGCTGGGGTGGGCCACGGTTCTTTTCATCAATTTTATTTTGCTATTTTTTTCCTGTCATTTTAAGATTAAATTGGAAGTTTTATTTGCTTATGAGAACAAATAGCCACTTTTTCTTCTCCATTTTTTTTTTCTGAGTGGGAATATGTGATCCCAGGTGTTTTCTCTCTGTTAATGAGAAAAATGTCTTTTTGCTTCAGACTGAATGAGCAGAGAAGGGGACAGGAGATTTGCATGGTTAAATGACTGTGTGCCTTTCCTTGTGGAAGTAATATTCCCCTGTTGTCAATTACTTCCATACAGACATCTGGATGTTTACCCTAGAAGTGTGCAGATGTCAACTTGTTCTGTATCGAACTTGGAAATGTGGTGATAACTTGACTTTGATTTGAGTAAACATAAAATAGCTAGCATTTAAAGTCAGAAGTTCACTGTGGGAGAGGGTTTAGACTGACATTTATTAAAAACAATAGTGCCTTGGAAAAGAAATTGGAACCCATCCCTAAAGAAATAGACACTCAGATAAAGTAAACAAAGCTGTGGCTATGTTATCTTAAGCCAATAGCAGAGTTTGATAATGACATTTATCTCCTTCTTGAACTTGCAGAGGCTGGTGCTGAGGACATTGACATTCTTCCCAATGGTCTGGCTTTCTTTAGTGTGGTAAGTACCATTTTCTTGTCCCACTTGAAGTTAGGGACAGACCTGCTCGGTCATTTACTTAAGCCCATGGAATGGAAAGAGATTGTAAACCCCTCACCTCTCAAAGTAATTTCTGAGAAAAAGACAGGTCAGTCAGGCTGGATTGAGAATTGTCCTCCAGCTTTCCTGAGTGCAGAGTTGAACAATCTTTGCAAACTGATCAGTTGTCTTTTGTCTCCCAGTCTATAGGGCAAGTTCCAGGATGACCAGGGATATACAGAGAAACCCTGCCTTGAAAAAATAAAATAAAAATAAAGCAAATGTGTAAAGTAGAGGAATACTGGAATAGTTGAAGGTGTTACTATGATTATGAATAGTTGTCACTCTCTCATAATGCTGCCTGATAATGGAAACAAATTACCATTGAGAGACATAAGTGAAGAAAGAAGATTATTAACTGCTGACATGGGGCTCTTATGAAGGACTGAAACAGCTCCAGTTTGTTTTGCCTAGTGGCCCAGGAGGCGTGAATGTTGGCAATCATAGATAGATGTTAAAAATTAAGAATTTCTTCTTATGTCCATTTTTGTTCATAACAAGTCTTTGCATTTTTGTTGTGCCCGTAAATTTACATAAAACATAACCACCTTGCATTAGCAAACTGAATACAGTAGCGAATTCATATACAGTTTATTATCACAAGTACTATTTCTGTTTAAATCAGAAGGACTCTGTGTCTTACAGTTAGCTAGAGAACCCAGATTATCTCTGCAAATGCATAAAAGCTGTTAATACAATTCAGTACTCACTCAATTAAAAGTTCCAAGGGAGCTGGAAATAAGAGGAATAACCAAAAACCAACAGCAAGCAACATTTTGAGTGTGTGTATGTGGTGTGTGTTTGGGGGGGGGGCGTGTTTCATGACAGGGTTTCTCTGTGCAATAGCCCTAGCCATCCTGGAAATTGCTCTGTAAACCAGTCTAGCCTGGAACTCACAGATATACATCTGCCTCTGTCTCCTGAGTTCTGGGGTTAAGACATGGGTTACCACCACTTGGCTAGCAAGCACAATCTTTAATAGTAAAATATGAACCATGTTCCCATTAATGTTCAAGAGGAGAGAAAGTCATTGGACTCCAAAACTATTGCCAATCAACTGGGATACTTAATAACTTAATACACGAAAAAGAAATGTGAGATAGACTCCAAAAACACAAAAATGGCTATATTTGCCATGCTCCAGGTCCTGGGATCTAGCAGGAAATAGAAGAGTCCTGGCTTATGTTCCTACCATTCTAGTCAAGATGTGACAAAGATATGGGGCAGTGGAGTGACAGATGATGGTTCTGGTGTTTGTGGTATCACAGTATCATTTGGGAATGGAGAAGATATCTGTCTGGTTAAGGACCTTGCCCACAACTCAGGTGGATGCCGGTGTGAATCTTGCCCATTTGATGAGAAGAGACCTGTGCTTGGCAAGAACAGTCCGCAAGCCCCCTGAGGATTGGGCAAACAAGCTGGGTGGAGGAGAGTGGTAGTCTCACCCCTGTAGACCCTTTTCCCCTGCCCCATGCAGTGCTACCAGCCACATCGTTCTCATGTAGGCATTATTATGCATGTATGCCAGTGGCTCCGGGTGGGTGGGGTGGGGGGGATGGAGAAAAGGAAGCTAGAGTAAGGGGAAAAGACCAGGGTTAGGCGGACACTGTGCTTGCAGGCAGCCTCATTAGAAAGGTGACATCTGGAATAGAGGTAAACAAACTGAGGGATGGAGCCTCCATCTCTGGAGGGAAGCATTGCTGGGCAGTGGGTTTGGAGTAAACTCTGATGTGAGAACATGCTTGCTCATTAAGGAGGGTCAGGAAACCTGGATGCCCTAAGGCATTATTGGTGTGGAAGAAAGTTATGGGACGAGGAGAAAGATGTGCATCGGAGGTAGGGAGGGTGAGAAAGTGCTCTCACGAAAGGCCTTCAAGCCATTCTAGAATCTTTTCTTGGAATCAGACTGAGATGGGACGCCATTAGTGTTTTGGTTAAAGGTGTGTTGTAATGTGCCACTACCAGGAGGCCGAGGGAATGTGGATAACTGAGAAGGGAGGGCAGAAGTAAAAGCCTTTTTCTTGGTCCTGAAATGTCAATGGTGGTAGCCACGGAGAAGTGGCGTGAACTACCCATACCTGTATGAAGGGATGTCCTTTCAAGGTGACACCAACAGGCTTTGGGGACCAGTCGTCTGCCCTGCTCAAGCCTGCCAGCCTCTTGTGGAGTGCAGGCCTGGAATGCGAGGGGTTTCACAGCTCGTATGTGACTGGCTGCTTTCCTGTCCCTCAGCTCTGCCTGGAATCCCTCAGTCCACCTCTCATTCGGTAGCCGCCCCCCCCCCCTCCAGAGAACCGATCTGAATTATCTGTCAGAGCTCAACAAAATTACCTATTGTTCATCTCTCCAGCTCCCAGCTATCATTTCTTCTTTTGTTCTCTGTTTCCTTTGTGCTCCTAGATGTCCACCCCACCTTTCTCTTTGTAGTCGTGGCTTTACGCCACCAGCTTTAACTGAAGTTGCTGCTTATCGTCTATGTGCAGTACATACCTAACTCAAGAAGGTACTTAAGCCTTTGTGTCTCATTTTTCCTCCCACTGTTTCCAAAGGGCCTCAAGTTCCCAGGGCTCCACAGCTTTGCACCAGACAAGCCTGGAGGAATACTGATGATGGATCTCAAAGAAGAAAAACCCAGGGCACTGGAATTAAGAGTCAGCTGGGGCTTCGATTTGGCTTCGTTTAACCCACATGGCATTAGCACTTTCATAGATGGTGGTAAGAGCTGATGGGATCCAAGGTGAAGACATACACATGGGAAATAGCCTTGAAACTCCCGCGTGCGCACGCGTGCACACACACACCACAGTACACAAACGCACAAAGGGGACAATGACCTTATGAAACAAGCCTGTGTTCCTATCAGCCATGTTCACAAATCTCCCAAACTCACAGGGCATTGTGCTGCGTTTTGAAATGTCTAGCAGTTTAACAATCATAAGAATGTTTAGATTTCTTGGTCTTCTCATATACCTGTGACCACTGGATCAAAAAGAGCCGAATCTCCAATTGAGCTCACAAATACATAATGCATGAATTCTGTGTGTAGAGGGGGGCAGACACTCCCTCTAAAAAGGTCAGAAGACCAGGGATCAGAACTAACACCAGGCCAATGGTCTGGAAAGGTACTGAACGGCTTGTGCCTTCAACCTTCCCATGCCCATGGTGTGGAAGTATTACTGCCTGCCCATGGGTCCTGTGTGTATCTCTTGTAAATGAACTCGCTCTGTCCATCCTTTAGATGACACCGTTTATCTCTTTGTTGTGAACCATCCGGAATTCAAGAATACAGTGGAAATTTTTAAATTTGAAGAAGAAGAAAATTCTTTGTTGCATCTGAAGACAATTAAACATGAGCTCCTCCCAAGGTGCTTTTCTTTTGTCCTAATTTTCCTGGTTACCTTTGGCACGTGCATGCGTGTGTGTGTGCGTGCGTGCGTGCGTGCGTGCGTGCGTGCGTGCGTGTGTGTGTGTGTGTGTGTGTGTGTGTGTGTGTGTGTGTAGACCAGAGGAAGGCCTTGGGCATCATTCCACAGGAGCCATCTACCTTGTTTTTGAGATAGTCTTTCATTGGCCTGGAGTTACCTAGTAGGCTCAGCCTGATGGCCAGGGAGCCCGGGGGATGGTCTTCCCACCTACGCTTCTGGGACTCTAAATAAGTGCTACAACATCTGGCGTTCTTGTCATGGATTGTAGGATTGATCTCAGGTCCTCATTCAAGCATGGCAGTCACTTTGCTACCTGCTATCTTCTCATTCCCTGTTGCTGGAATTTCCAAACACTCATTATTTTGGTTGATTCATCTTTTGTTAGGGCTCACTTACGTTAGGTAATATGTAATACAAAGCCTAACATATGGTAACTTATACATAGTTTGGGAGTTTATAAATATTCATGTGTATTAAGCAGGTTAAGCACTTCCAAAGTGAAATCCAAAGGGATGCCCTATAGTTTGAGTCTTTTTGAACCACGATGCTACAGGCAGAAATGCCACACTATGACGTTTTCTTTCTTACACATTTTTTTAAAAGTGTTGTGTGGTTTCCTGTGCAAGATCTGCACAGTATCAAAAATCAGAAATACTTCTAGTCTCCCAAGGATTTTGGATCATCATCTCTGTCATAGTCTCTCTCCTTCTGTCTCTGTCTCTCTCTGTCTCATGAATCATGTATGGTGTGTGTGTGTGTGTGTGTGTTTCCATGTAGATAAGGGAGAGTATGACTGATAACCACTTTTTATAATGAGTAGTGTTCTGACTGAACTCCCTTGAGAAATGATGGAGCACCAGGCTTCAGGGTGACACTCCTCAGGCCCAGTTTGAGAACAGAAGATAAACCCTGCCACTGTTCATGGCTGCCACCTTCATCTCAAATGACTGAGCGCTCGAATCCCTGCCCTTCCCTGGAGGGGTAGCTTGTCTTCAGTGGGTCCAATGCTTTATACAAAGCACACTCAAGGGGTTCGTGATAGCTGTGGGTTAATGTCCCTGCAGAATTGAGTATCCAAGTTGGAAGGGCGCCACTACTGCCAAAATGACACTGATGGAGAGTGTGACGGAAGGAGACTCGTGTATCCCTTCCAGCTCAGCTTGCACTGGGCTCCTGCTGGAAGTTTAAACTTGATAGATATTTTTTAATCTTTACATCTCTCTCTAGGTTATAAGCATGTAATGTCCAATCATTCGTCCCCAAAATGCACTTTGTGATAAACAGGAGCTTGAGTACCAGTCAGGCAGAGTCTGAATTGTGGAGCATTTTCAGAAGAAAATAAAAGCCTCCCTTGTAGCTCTGTATTTTTCATTCGACAGAGAAGAAAGCAGCTCTTTCAGAAATTTTTGCATAAGATAATTGGAATTTCAATTTAATAACACCCTTGCCTAGCTGGTTGGCAACGGTAATTGTTTTTAGCATATCAATCTCTCTCTTGAAGCACTGTTCTCTGACCATTTCATCATCTGTCTCGCTGCAAGTGTTTATTGAATGCCTGTTCATTGCTGGCTTGGCAGCTTTGCGAGGCAGGTAGAAATTGAACAGTCAACCTTAGTTTGACTAATGACTAAGCAAGGGACCTCAGGAAAGTCCCGCAGTAGAATAAATGAGGGTGGGGTAAATGTGACTGACAGCATAATGACAGACAAGCCTGTCCAGTTCCACACCTGAGCAGCTCTCTCTTTATAGGCAGTTGTTAAAGCCAGTAATGTCCATGTCAGAAAACATGCTTTTAGCTGGGCATGATGGCCACACCTGTAATACTATGGCTGGGGTAGTAGAGGAAATCAGGAACTCAAGGTTGTTTTCAGAAACACAGTGAGTTCCAAGCCAGCCTGGCCTACCGGGGACCCTGCGTCAAAAATGGTAATAGTAAAATAATACTTTTTTTTTTTTTTTTTGAGACAGGGTCTCAGTGTGGATCTCTGGTTGAGTTTGAACTCACTTTCCTTCTTCCTCCACTTCTAAGTTCTGGGATTACATGTGTGTGCCTGGTGGATATCTTTCTTTCTATAAAGGATTTTTGCCATAATTGCCCTGGACTGTATGATATTGTTCTCATGCAGTTGTCACCATAGTGCATGGTCTGTGGTTCTGGATCATGTCCTCAGGACCACTGTCATGTGGATATAGCTTCACCTTCCTTGGGAAACCCCTCCCCAAATTCTAAACCCCTGCTGTGTAAAGTTTGTGAACAGTCATCGAATCTTCTACAAGGAGACAATTAGGCTTCTAATTTGCTCTGCCATGCTATTTTTCTCTTTCAGCGTGAATGACATCATAGCTGTTGGACCGGCCCACTTCTATGCCACCAATGACCACTATTTCTCAGATCCTTTCTTAAAGTATTTGGAGACATACTTGAACCTACGCTGGGCAAATGTTGTTTACTACAGTCCAGATGAAGTTAAGCTGGTAGCAGAAGGATTTGATTCAGCCAATGGAATCAATATTTCACCTGACAAAAAGTAAAGCTCCTTACATAACATCTTCACCTCTCGTCAATAAATTGTTCTCATAAACAAATCCCTTAGGTTCCAATATACCCTTTTTAATTTTATATATAGCAATATAGTTTGCATATTAAATAACACTATAGTATAATGACTTGATGTTTTAAATATAAGACAAAAGGAAACTTTTCAGGCTTTAAAACTCCTTCAAAACAAAAATTTAAATTAATTAATTGATGTCATTCTATTGACTGTATTCTTCTATCCAAGAATCATTCTAAACTGGCCTAACTATTTCTTTGTTGATGGATATGTGCTTATTTGATTTCTATCAGATGTTATATCAAAAACATCTCATGCTTCTCCTTTAGCACTGCAATCAATTAAACCAATTACTATTTTAAAGTAAAAACTACCTAGGACAGTATTAAAACATAATAGTTAAACTTGAGGCTTTTGGACTTCTACAGCTCTGCCCCAATTACTTTATTGTGAGTACCACTTACTTGAATACTTGTACAAAATTTCTGTAGAATGAACCCCTATGAATACTCAGACCTCCTGTGAGTACACAGACCCCCTGTGAGTACACAGACCTGTGAGTACTCAGACCCCCTGTGAGTACACAGACCCCCTGTGAGTACTCAGACCCCCTGTGAGTACACAGACCTGTGAGTACTCAGACCTCCTGTGAGTACTCAGACCTGCTGTGAGTACACAGACCTCCTGTGAGTACACAGACCCCCTGTGAGTACACAGACCTGTGAGTACTCAGACCTCCTGTGAGTATACAGACCTCCTGTGAGTACACAGACCCCCCTGTGAGTACACAGACCTGTGAGTACTCAGACCTCCTGTGAGTATACAGACCTCCTGTGAGTACACAGACCTCCTGTGAGTACTCAGACCTCCTGTGAGTACTCAGACCTCCTGTGAGTACTCAGACCCCCTGTGAGTACTCAGACCTCCTGTGAGTACACCGATCTCCAGTTAATCTTTTCACTGTTGGTCTTAATGTATGTTGTTGAATTGTGTTCCAGAAACACTCTTCTTATTTTTATTCTTAGTTTTCCTCTGCCTTACTGCACCGAACAATTTAAACTACCACAAGGCATTTGACATTCCCTGACAATTAGATGTTCTTATTGTGTGATGTAATTTGTCCTTTTCTTTTTAATCAGAAAATAAATATAAATCACTCAAACCATCTCTTTCTAGCCCAGTCTGCCAGTCAAACCTGTGTTTTTCCACCTCTAGCATTTCTGTGTTGGTTGCAGCTTGCTTTCAACCTTCCTCTGGCTTTTGTACTCTGGCCACTGTGGTTCTTCTATGGTCAGTTAGCCCATCCCCATCTCTGGTTGCAAGTGTCCACCACAGCACCAGCTGGGAAGCACATACCCTGTCACTGGTGGACTCAGCTGTCACTCTGTCATCAAGCTACTTCTTTCCTAAGCCTGCAGTAGACTCCAGATCCTCTCAGATCAAGAGAGGAAAGGTCTGGGCTTGCTATAATGAGTAGCTCTACCCTCCGTTTGTTTTTCTACACTTCGCATGAGATGATGTGTGCTTTATGTTGCTGATACCCACCTATAGCTCACATCACTTTACCTTGGCTCATTTGCTTTCAGAAAGGGCTCCATCCCCCTGTTGTCTCTAGATTTAGCTATTTCCCATGGTACAGGGACTGTTATTGACTCGGGTGTTATGTGTGCACAAAGTAGGTTGAACTGGTGAACTGGTGTTGGAAGAGCAAAATGTGTCCCTTCCCTGTGTGCATGTTACACTGTTAGGGATTCTGGCCTCATGCAGGAAGACTGCTCAGTAAGGCAGCTACCATGGAATGTTAGGTTTCAATTTCATGTGTTAACCTCGCTCACTGCCCCTTAGATATAGATACAAAGTTCTGGATAAATACTCATCTTAATATTAGGATTATGTGAGTATTAATATTTTATTAAATATCCATACGTATTAATGATATTTAAAGTATCCCATACCACTTAATCTTATATGTCCATATTAAAGATATTAAAATGTATGGCTTTCTTTCTTATAAAATCAAAATTTTTGTTTTTGCTATTTCAATGGCAAATATTGTGAACTTTATATTCAAATATTGTGAACTTCATATTCAATTGGTATTTTTCTTACAAATCTTTTTAAAATGAATTTAATACCCATGATTGTTGTAGCACCACTGAACTGATTTTGAAGGCTTTAAAATATATATATATATATATACATATATATATATATATATATATATATATATGTTGACCTTTATCAAGCATTCCTCCCATGCATCCCTTTGAACTCTTCAGGAGGCTTCAGGACTCTCTCCTTCCTGCTGTATGAAGACATCTATCTCTGTTGGCAGAAAGTGCTAACCAGTGTCTTTTCTGAATAGGTATGTCTACGTTGCTGACATACTAGCTCATGAAATCCATGTTTTGGAAAAGCAACCTAATATGAATTTAACTCAATTAAAGGTAAATATTTTGTTTTATGTGTAGATGTCAACTGATTGTTCTTTGCTGTATTCTAGTTGGGCTAACTATCACACTGAAAACACAGCATGGGTATAGACAACAGGTCAGCCGCTGTCTATGTTCTTCAATATCTCCCCCCTCTAACAAGACAAATCTGTTGGCAGCTGTCACTAGGACGGATAGTGATTGCAGGCAGCAGTGGATTGAGTGATATTGGCATCAGGTTTAGAACTGTTCCATGAGGTATTGACAATATCTAATGAATCCCAATAAGACTTTTCACAGTTGAAAAGAAATAGTTGAGTTTTCAAATGAATATTTATGCCCATTCAGTTTTTTCAATAATAAATGAAAGTAGAAATTGTGCTGACAAACACATATTTTAGGTTGATTAAAAATTGTCTCGCTTTGATGGACTTCCTTAAACTAACTGATCACTGTGTATGTTTTGAAACAAAAGGAGTTCATTATTTGTATTATTTGAACCGATGGATTATCACCCTAGGTTTTTTATTTTCAGAGAAGATGAAGAATGGCTCCAAGCCCATTCATTAAGTTTATTTTAAGCAATATCGGTGTTCGAAGGGCAGGTGTAAGAAGGTGTGGGTAATGCCCCATATGTATAGGAACTAGAAAGGTTAGCTCTAAATTATTTAATCATGTTGCTTGCATCACTAAGATATTGACATTATTTCTTTGTAAGGTTCTGCAGTTGGGCACACTGGTGGACAATTTATCTATTGATCCTTCCTCGGGTGACATCTGGGTTGGCTGTCACCCTAATGGCCAGAAGCTCTTCGTGTATGACCCGAACAATCCTCCATCATCAGAGGTTTTTATATTTTGCGTTTTTCAACCTTAATTATCAAGTCCTTTGAACTAATAATGCGATAAACTGTCACCAGGATGATTTGTTAGTTCTTTTAAACTAATAACACAATAAACCTGGGAGGTAGTTTGTAATTGCTTTAAGCCAATAATTGGCAGAATGTTGCATTGTTCAAATGCTTTGAGAAAAGTAATCTTTTGATGAATTAAATTATGGTGGAAACTAGTCAAAAGTCATTTTTATAAAGACATGGGTCCTGTTCATGTGGTATACTGGCAATTTAAAAATATCTGGATTACTGTCAACTCACCACGCGATGTGCGTTTAGTGCACGCTGAAGTAGCGTCAAAGCAGGCACAGTGGTGGGAGCCTATTTCTGTTAACGCTGAATTGCTGTAATCACACAAAATCCTGTGTTGGCATGGCATGACTGGGTACTTTAAAAAGTCCTTTCTTTGAAGGCTGGAGAAAGTACATTAAATTAAGCATTAAGGAGATTGGTAACTGCTGTTTGCAGCAGCATGCCTTCTTAATCATGTGTCTTTGGGGAAGACAAGGGATTATTGGTGCTTGAAGGGTATGGGTGTGTGTGGTTCTCTATTAACACTTTGTGTTTCCTGGATAGGTTCTCCGCATCCAGAACATTCTATCCGAGAAGCCATCTGTAACTACAGTGTATATCAACAACGGGTCTGTCCTTCAGGGAAGTTCCGTGGCAACCATATACGATAGGAAACTTCTTGTAGGCACTTTATACCAGAGAGCCTTGTACTGTGAACTCTAAGTTGTATTTTTGGCATGCAAGTGCAATAAGTTGTATCAAAATAATCTTTTGATGAATTGCTAATTCTGAGGGAATTTAACTATCAGCACTGACCTAGGAATATGCCACATACATAGCTCATTTTATTTCAATAAGGAAAGGCCCAGAATTCTGTTGCACTTTGAGCATCAAAAGAAAATGAACTTTATTATTGGTGTTTTTTAAAATGCCAATCCAGGGAGAAAGAAAAAAGCTGCTTTTGGATAAAGTGAATGCATTTTGCACAGAGGCGCTTCATTGTTGTGCCCCACCATGTAGGAGGCTACTGAAACAGGATGAGGCATCAAAGCATAAGCATCCTGGGTCCCTATGCTGTGACCACTGTGCGTGTTCAGAACTACTGATAGATAACATTTTGATGTTGTGTTCTTACAGCTTTGTCTACTGTTTAAAAGTTAGAAGTGTATTAAAGACTAACCACAAGCCAGGTTTTCATTTTTGTTTAATTACTGATTCTCAGGAGAATGGGAAGGAATTAACTTTTAGGGGATTCGATTGGACAAGAATGGCCATGCTAACCTCTCATGAAAGCTCGATGTAAAGGGGCTCTTTATTGGAAAAAATAAAACAACTGAATACGGTAGCTCCAGATTTTATTTATTTACCTTTTCTTCCAAACACAATCTCATTACATAGCTCTGGCTGACCTGGAAATTGTTGTGTAGCTCAAGGTGGCCTCATACTCATGGAGACCACCTACATACGCCACCGCCAGCCTTCAAATTTTCAATTCTTAAGGTGTCTCCTATAGGTTCTTTTCCTAAATAGAAGCCCACTTTAGGTCCAAAGAGGAGATAAAGGCTTGGGGTTGGCAGGTTACCTACTCAGTAAACTCATTTATGACTGGAAGCCAGGAGAGGTGTGGTCAGCTGTCCAAGCCTGCCTGGCTAGGTAGCCCTACACTGCATCAGAGTTAAGGGTGACAAAAACACAGGAGAAACATGTTTTTCCCTTCTAGTTCCAAAAAGAGTCCTGAAGAGTGACTTTACTCTGTTTCCTTCTGTTGTCACTTATGTGCTTTCATTAAAATTTTATTATAAAGGACTTGCACATAAATCACCATTGTCACTTATCAAAGGCTTTTTGTTTCACTTTTCCATCTCCCTCATTATCATTAAGATACTTGTCAGTTAGTTATCAAATGTCCAACAATTGGGAAGTGCTCTCCCATTATTTCACTTAATCTTAATTGCAGCCTAGAGGGAATAGATGTCAATATCATATCGTTGTTAACATTTCACAGTCAGTCAAGGTCACACACTTCCTAAGGGTGAATATCAATCTGTTTCTAATGCCAGACCCTGTGCCACTAGCAATTACATGAAGCCACTGTCATAGAGCCAGTGCTGCAGAGTTACACATCCCCTATTGTATATCATATGTTCTGTTGTGGGTTTTCTTCCAAGGTACCAATTTGAGTTCCGTGTTTTGGTTAAATGATTTAATGGCTTTAGAATGGAAATTGCAGAAGTAATTCTTAAACTTGGGCTCTGGTCCATTTAGTCTGTTTCGTATTTGTATTTCTCTGTTATTTATTATTTTCGATTTTTCAATTTGTTCTGTTAATGAATTGGGGATATATTTCAAGCCAAAGAAATTAATGCTTCTTGCGGCTTTCATTATCCGAGGGGAAAATGTTCACAGATGAATAAGACAAGATTAAATATTGTTTTCCTAAGGACTCAACCCAAGAAAGGAATGTTTTTGATTTCAGGAGATGTTAACAATGGCTATCTATCTAAGAAGACACATTCATAAGACATACTAGGTATCAAGTAAAATACCTTTCCATTTCACTTATTCAAAATTTCATTTGTGCAAAAGTGGGTATGAATTAATAAGCTCGTGCCTTGTTTATCTCAGGCATACAAGAAAGGTTTTAATAAATCCTGATTTGGAGTATTAATGGGTATGAGAGGTTGTTTTATCAAACTGTAAGTATAATATGTATTAATATATGATGAACTTTTTATGATCATATATTGAGGGGAACGTTTTGGTGATCAAGTCATCATTGTCCAAAACAACAGAAATTGCAGTGGCAATTTTGCAATACTAGGGGATACATTTGGGGCCCAATCTCTCTCTCTCTCTCTCTCTCTCTCTCTCTCTCTCTCTCTCTCTGTGTGTGTGTGTGTGTGTGTGTGTGTGTATGTGTGTGTGTGTGTGTTTATACACATGTGCCTGCAGACGCTAGAGGAGGATATTCAAGCATCTTCCTCCATTTTTCTCCATTTCACTGCCTTCAGACAGGTGTTTTTATGACCCTGAAGTTTTGTGTTTCAGCTAGCACTGGGGTTACAGGTACTTCAGCCATGCTCAGCTTTTATGTGTGTTTGGAGGTTCCAACTCAGAACCTCTTGCGAACACTCAGATCCACCCAGCCGTCTCTTCAGCCTTTATTTTTACTCTTCTTTCTTTTAAATAAAACTTATTTTAAATAAACTTATTATGACACATAAGTATTTACTATGAGGAGCAAGGAAAATTAAATTGGCTGTGTTTTGGCAAGGGTTAATCATTCCTGACAAATGAAGATGATCCTTTCTCTAGGTTTTAAACCTTCCAAGTGCTGAGAGGATGGAATGAATCCAAGGGAAATGCTTTCACTCCCCTCAAATCCTCCAGCTTCACTTAAAACAAAAACAAAAACCAGCTCTCACCAGATTATCTAGCCCCAGCCTGGCTTTGCACATTGGGTCTTCCTATCCAAGGCTTCCTATTGTTCAACTGATTTCTCTATTAATTACAAATATTGAAAACAATGCAATTACATATTGGTCTCTTAGTAATATTTTTGTAGTGACATCTTTGATGAATGGGTAATAAAACTGGTTGTCCTAATTACTTTTCTGGGAGTTAAACTCCAAGTCTTCAGAACTTTTGGCATAGGGGGCCATATAGTCTACCCCCAGATCCTGCTAAAGGCTGCATGCTCTTGTGTTCCATGAAGGGTCATGAAGGCAGATATTCCTGCACTGACTATTCCAAGTAGCTTTTGTCTGCTTCTTTATACCATAAACATCCTCATGCCCTATCCTCAGAGAGGTGGGTTCAAGACCTGGGTCTGCTTCTCTTTGTTTGGCTAGCTTGAAAACAACTCTTGAAAGCCTTAAGCAATTGGTACATTGGGTGCTGGGCAAAATGAACTTTGCCTGGTACCAAAATATCTCTTGAGAAATAACTGGGGTCATAACATTTTTCCCAAACCAGGTCAACCTGCAAGAGAACTAAGTGTCCTTTACCACTACTGAGCCATCTGTCCATTACCCAACATTTTGCATAAGTATCCTATTTGTCAAGGATTACCTTGTTCTTGACATCCTTAGTCCTATAAAATCTTCACATTTCAAAATAATTGTTCTTTTTTTTTTTAAACTGAATTCTACTGCTACTGCATCTTGTTATTAATAGATGATGCTTGAAGGTGCAATGTTCCCTAAGCTCCTCAAGTGTCCTGTCATCTTCAAACTGCAGGGGTATTGTTTATCTGAGAGGAAAGTTTCACTCTTCATCAGAAAGACCTGCAGTCCACAGGAAAGAATAACAAGAATCTCCCATGGAAACTATGCCCTTGTCCCCAGACAGATGGACTTGGATTTTCACCATTTCCAACAACCTGATGACACCATGAAGGTCTGGAGCCCAAGTCCAGAGCTCTGATGTCTGGAGAAGGATGAGTCAAGGGACTTGCCTTTCAGTATTTACTCCCCTTTAGGGGGTTTCAGGAGCGATTTCTGGATTCCCATGTGGCTCTCTCAACCTTTCACCCACTGGTTGGAGCTTAAGTTAATTAAGTTCTGTAGCTTTAAGAAACAAACTCTCTTCACCCTGTAGGGACTCCAACTTTGAGTTCAAACCAGAGCACCCTAGAACTTGGCTGACCTTAGCCAGAGGTAACTGGCTCCTGATCCCTAACTAGAGACTTAGAGGCAGGCAGAAAAGTGTCCTTGAACTCTGAGCAAGGATAGGTAGCCTTGGAATCCGTGCCTTAAAGTGCCCTTGAACTAGAGCGCAAAGGTGCCTTTGAATCTCGCCGGCAAAGGTGGTCTTGAATCCCAAAAGCAAAAGTTTCCTTGGAGCAGGAGAGAGCAAAGACCCCACTTGCTGACTGCTGCCTGGCACAGGACCGGCCAAAGTACCTGCAAGGAGGAGCAGGAAGGCGGGGCACAGGGACCAGGTTACTGGGCGGGGCCACGGCGTGTCCGCCCTCCCCCCCACTCCGCCCTCGGGGAGCAGCACTGTGCGAGGCTCATTGCCTCTAGGCACTCAGACAACATGGGGAAGCTAGTGGTGCTGACCTTGCTGGGGGCCAGCTTGGCCTTAATAGGGGAGAGGCTTCTGACATTTAGGTGAGTGGACACCTCCATGGCGATGTCTTCTGATCTTTTTTCTTTTCTGGTCCAAGTTAGGTTAAGGACAACCGGTTCCAACTTCCTAATGGGTGGAAAGTAGCTGTGCCACCCACTCAACTTCCCCTTGAGAATCACTCATTCGGAAAGGGGCAGGCTGCTTGCCTTTCTAGGCTGCCAGGGTGAGAAAGCCCACGTTAGACTTCTGAAGGTTACTTACCTTTTCCAGGCCTTCTGAAACACTGCCCTTGTGAAATACTAAAGTCCTTTGGGAGTGATGAACTTGGGGGAGGGGACCGTTCTAGCAGCTGGATATTTATAGCTGTTGCAGACACTAAAAGTGCTGGGTTTGGAACCTGTTCCATACTGGAGGATGAGTCAGGAGGTAAGAAGAGAGCTGAACTCTGCAGACAGAACTGGCTTGGAGGGTGGCTGACATTTTGAAGTAGAAGATTCTGCAGCGACAGCCACCCCAGAATTGTCTCAAGCAAAGTCAGTTTGGTCTGAAAGAACTTTTTAAAAAGTTTTTTTTGTTTTTGTTTTTTTTTTTTAAAGCCTTATTCCTAGATGAGGCCAAGGCCTCCGCTTATTGTCCTGTGTATACTCTTTCTGTAAGGAAAGGCCAGTCTCAGTTCATTGCTGCAATCTGTTCCGGATACCTGATGTCTGCTGGCAACACTTTCTAGCCCAGCTTGGGAGTGCTTGTCGTTGCGCTTGCTCCCCAAACAACAAGTGACAGAATCATCAAATAGTAAATGTGAGGGCCAGACATGCACACATCTGTGTCTAGTACAGCTAGGGTGGCAAGCATGCCTCCACAGAGCTGCACCTGAAGAGTGCTTTTTAAAAGCGATCGAAAGGTAAGTCTAACGTCAGGCTTCTTGGCTATAGTTTAGTAATTATTTTAAGTGACAACTAATATTTAGAAGGATGTTTATGTTTTCACTGCAGAAATAAGAATACTGCTGAAAAGCAGGTTGGCTAACTAACAGCTCTCATGGTGGTCAGGTCCACGAATGAACATACCTATTTTAAGGGAAGTCAGCATAAGCTTAGTTGAAAAGAACTAAGAGCAAAAGTTACAGGTTTGGCTTCTTGGAGACCTCACAGAAATGTGTGTTTTTGTTTTTGTTTTTGCCCCCTCCCTCCCCCCCCCAGAGGAAGGAGATCAAAGGAAATAAGGGGAAATGAAAGGGAGAAAGTACAGATGTATAATACTTTAAAATGATATGGTGCTGTTTTTTGTTCATTTAAATAAACGATGTTGTTAATTTCTGCCTAGCATTAAGTGGGGTCTTAGATTTGGAATAGAACCACGCTTTATTCTTTCAGCGAAAGACGGGAAGTTAGCCTGTGTGGATGCATTCTTCAAGTGAGTCATATTATGTAACTAACCAAAGGCATTGTGTGCTTATCTGTTATGCCATCCATTAGAAGAGGAAAGTGAGCAGGGGCCTCCATGTCTGTTCAGACATCGAGCTGGGATGCTGGGCTCTGAGCTCTGTGCTGTGGGTTTCTCCATGTTGACTTTTATCTTCTACAGAGAAAGAGTTACTGCATCACGAGAAATACAGTCCATAGAACCGCAGAACTGCCACCTGATTGAGGGACTCGGTAAGCAAAAGGCAGGCCCAAGAGAAGGCAGAGGCATTTCTTGGTCATCATTTCTCTGAGTCTCCTATATGATTTCATTCCCTATTACTCCACGGTGGTGTGGCTTCTACGCATGGCTTGGCCCAGACTGCCCCATACAAAGGGCATTTCTCCATTGTCTGATGAATTTCACTTGCTGCTTCTTGGCTACTGGCCTCCTGACCCCTTGTTTTGTAGTTCCCCTTTCTTAACAATCTTGGCTCCACTATCCTTTGCTTTAACATTCCCTGGCAAGTACATCTCTTATATATTCAGACTTTCAGCCTACCTAGATATCTTTCAGACATTTCAGTCTCAACTCTGCAGCCATATCTCTCAACCTAAAGGTCTTTCTCCATCACTGAGGTGTTTTGTTTATTTAGATTCAGAATCAATTGACATCAGCTTCACACTCCTGCCATTCCCTCTGAGGCTCTCAACTCAAAGCTGGCCCATTATCCTCTGGAGGCTTAGTTAAAAATCTTAAGACCATTGCTTTCCTCCTTGACACCCCCCCCCCTTCCGGAGGGGACCAATGGCCTTCTCAGTTCCCACTGACTTCACCTATTTGGCCCTGCTACAGTGTTTACTTGGGCTTCAAGCCTCCTGTTTTGCTACTAGAAAATAAAACAAAAACCCGTGCCAACCTGCTCTCTGTGTGAGGGATGTGTTCTGCATCTTTCTCTCCTGTGTTACGCCATCTCCCTCTCCCCCCTCCCCCCCATGGTTGCTCACTGAAGTCAGCCACAGATGCATCTCTCTCCTCCTCACTCTCAGGGCACTTTGAATCTCAGTTGACTCCACGCCTACCACATAGTTTCTTTCTGAACCGGTGTTCTCTTTCATTATCAGATTATACACTCCCTAGGGTCAAAGACTAGCGTTATTTATTGGTATGAGATAACACAGTTTTCTTTGTGAT